GTAGGGTTCCTTTAGAACACTGGAGCTTATGGTTTAATTATCATAGAGCTGCTAGTGCTGAGTATTTTTGGTGAGATGAAATATCACACTGAAAAAAGCTATAAGCAAAAGAAAACGAGGGGTCAAATCTGGAGTCTCCTGCCCTTTACATACATATAAGCAAAGCTTTTAATCATAACTTTACTCATTAGCGAAGCACCTGAATATTCTTTCACTAGGGTGGAGTAGGAAGGTCATCACCGGAGGGTTTTCAGAGGCGTGATCAGGAAAACCTGTCCCAGCTTGAACTTTATACCTGTCTATAAACTCCTCCCTTCCTCCTCCTTTCTGCCACCCCAGCCAGGAATTAAAAAAAAAAAAAGCCTTCACATTTAAACAGGAGATGCTGCATTTCCTGGACTGAGTCCTTTTCCTTTACCCTCATTAAAAAAGATTCCTTCGATACCACACACATATATAATATTATATAGAGCGATATATTTAATACCTGTGTATATATGCTTCACAGGGGTCACATATATACACACTAAAACAAGTCTGTGACAAAATACTGCAACACCACAGATCAGGTTATCATATCTGGGAAAACAAAAATAGATACGCAATGCTCATGAGCATCCCACCCCCTTTGCCCCCATAACAATAGCCCCTCCCCCCAGCTAACACTATCAGTCTGGAGAAGAGTGGGTGCAGAGCAGTTATTCTGATTAAAGAGAAGGGACATCACCCCGCTCCATAATCTAAACAAATTATCAACTCTTAAGTCCCGGTGCAGCAAACGCGACAATGGCACTGTAAATGCAGATTTGTTTTTAAACTAAAAAACAAGCATTCCCCCTCCCTTGATTAATTTTTCCTCTCTTCTCCCCTGCACATGTCGCTGCCGCCACTCCAATGAACATGGTACAAGCCTACGCACTGGTGCTAATATCACTTTTTTGGTAAATTCTGCAGAGGGAGCGACCGGCTGAACACGTGTTGGTAAAGCAGGGATTAGACAGCTACAAAAAGGGGTGTGTGAAGGGAAGGCTGGATTAGCTCATTTAGCAGCAGCTGGGTTCCTGTTACTTTGCTTAATCCAGTGTCACAGCAATTCTATACATTATGAGTATACTTGGCAACATAGAAGACAAGCATCCCTCTCCCTTGCCATCTAGCCTTTCAATTTCAGTGCTTGAGACAATGAAATGTACCTACTAGGAGATGAGGTGCCCAGTTTCAAATCTGAACAGAAATCGCGCCTCACCCTATCGGTGGAAACAAATACAGCATCAGCCTGCTCATAAACCATGGGCATCCAATAAAACTTGGGATTGGGAGGCGGATCAGTGGAGCAAGGATCTTTCCAGCTGCTCAGCCGTCTCCTTGGGGCATGCGAGAAAAAGCATCCTCCCTTCTCCCACCTCTCTATCATAAACAACAAATACATACTCAATCTCTGTGCTTCTAGTGCCACTTCCAGGCCAGGACCCCAAAGAGTTGTACATACACTAATGAATTAAGCCTCATATCGTTATTATCGCAATTTGGCAGCGGGGAAAACAAGCATGGAGGGGCTAGCGGCTTGTCCAGGGGACCCAGTGACTTAACAGCAGTGGCTGGAAAGACCAGACCCCAGGTCTCCTCATTAATACTCCCAGGCTCTAACCACTATGCAAGAACTGAGCCAGCTGCCTATGAGTTGTGTACATCCAGAGTTAGGTCTGTAAATAAAGATGCCAGCTGCCAATTCAGTATCTCCCACATATTGCTTCCTACCTAATATCTCTTGTCTAGGGGCCACAGGTGTTCTCAGAGGTGGGGAGAAGAAAAGGGGACCCAACGCTGCTGAACCACCATGCAAAATACAGCCATGTTTTATTTATTGTACGTACAGCACTGGAGGGCTCTGACTTCTCACAGGCAAAACAATCTCATAAGACCCTATTAAAAAAAACACAACTACACACACATTGCTCTAAGAAGGTGGGACTGTTTGTTCTTCAGCCGATGGTGCTGTATCAAACTATGTACACACATGCACACTGTATTAAACTGTAATCAGAGTGAGGGAAAGGGAGGCTCAGGACAAAGGGGGCAGATGTCAGCGTACCCACTCCCCAGTGACAGATGGACCAGGATGAGGCACAAAGCTGACCCCAGAGAAACTCTGGGGTGTTGGCATAAGCTCATTATTGCCATTAGAAATACTGAGATCCTGACTCAGCGGAGTTATATTTGAGACTCTACTCCGCACTCCGGTTCGGCCAATCGGGTTCCTCTATTTGAGCGGCCCTATTTTAAACACAATTTATATCATTCCAGTATTGGAGATAGAAAATCCTGCGAGACGTCCTACCACCACTCCTCAAACAAACAAGGCAAGAGTGCAGGTGGTATAGTAGGCACTATGGACAGTCTCTGGCACCTTCTTAACATATCCCTGCATCAATCCCACCCCACCCAAATGATGTGAGATCACCCCGCCAACTTGCCGACAGACGGCACGTGTTGGGCCACATCACGGATCTTCCCTCTGGAGCCACGCATGCCACATGCACTAATGAATCCCCTCAGCTGGGCTCAACGGAGAATGGTACCAACTCTGACAGGAACAGCGTTCAGCGGGGCCACTTCATTTAGCAACACTAGCTTCACTTACAGCTGACACAGTCTAAGGGCTGGTCTACACTGGGAACATACAGCTGTACAGCTACAACTCTCAGGGCGTGAAAATTCCACACCCCTGAGAAAAGCAGCTATGCCACCCTAAGCCCTGGTGTAGACAATGCTAGGGCGACAGAAGAATTCTTCCACTGTCCTGGCTCTCCCCTCTCGGGGAGGTGGGTTATCGACACCAATGGGAAAACTGCTCCTGTCAGCGTAGGTAGTGTCTACACTGAAGCACAACAGCGGCGCAGCTGCAACTTTGCCCCAGTAGCATTTTCAGTGTAGACATACCTTGAGTGTCGACTGCTCCCCCTAGAGCTGACCTAATTCAAAATGCAAGTCAGCACAATACCAGCAGCAGACCTGACAGCTGTTCCCTCTCTTGCTCCATGAGGCGGGGTGATTCTATCAGAGGCTCCTGTATCCCCTGCGCACCTGAATGTTCCCATGGCAAAGAGGCACTCCTCTATTCTTCCTGCCGGCAGGGGCCAGCTTGCTGGAAAATGACATTACTTGCAGCACTGGAAGTCTAGTGAGGGGAGGGAAGCACAAAAGCCTAGAAGCCAGTTTAAACGCAATGTTCATAATGATTTAAAAAAACCAAAACAATCAGAAAAACACATTTCCCACTGCTGAACATTCCCCACCAAAAAACCAAGGTGTAACCTGATGGGGACACTGGGGCTGGGTGGTTGTGTGTTTCTATTTACCCAGAGGGACCCTCATATTACAAATATGATTTTTCTTTTCTCTTCCAGACAGTTGTTGGACATCTTGTCCTCTGTCTGACAAGGGATACAGGAAGAGTTAATTTCCTTTTTCTTTTCCGGGAGGGGAGACTGCAAGGGGACACACAGTCAAAGTAAAATCACATGCTAGAACAAACAAACATTCTCCTTACTTGCATTAATAACTGGCTTCAATTTAATAATCTAAAAGAGCCTTTAAAATTGGTCTCTTCAGCACGCTATTGGTTTGTGTTTTGCACGTCACTCAGCTCCAAACTACCCTGGTCAGTTTTGTCTTCCATTTCTAGTTAGCTTTGTTTTCTGGTTCCCATGCACTCGTCCAATGCTATTGAGTTTGATTTTGCAACACTGCAAGAGAAGGTTTCAACCCCCTCCAGCAACCACACTGTATTCATTTCAATCGCAAAATCATTTCTAAATGCATTCTTTGTCAAACACAGACTCTGAATTTTGGGCCTATGCTACTTGATAGTGTCCTTGAATTGATTTATGCCCACTTCCTCTGACAGCACCTTCAGCCTCTACAGACAAAACCCGTATCCAAGTAACCAAGTATATAGACTATTTAAAGACGTAATCCCCGAAGCAGAAGCTGACTGACTTTACACTGCTGATAAATACAAATACAAGCTCCTTTTCTGTTACTTCCTTTTTCCTGGCTGATCCCAAGGCCCAGAGCACACAGATGACAACAGCACCATAGTATTAGCTATACCCTGTGGACAGACTCAGTCTTACTTACATAATCACACTAGTTTAAAAAAAAAAAATCTGCACTCTCTTCTGTCCATGAGAAAGTCAAATGACCCATTACTACTTTGCTTTTTGGATACAATCAATAGTAACAGCAAAAAAGTCATCCATGATCACTTTCAAACTGCCCCTTCTGCAAAAAGCACCCTGGTTGTTTTCTCAGCTATGCTCCTTGCACCCATGTATGTGGGGGGGGCTAGACAGCCATTACCCTCCTCAGCAGTTGTGTGCCTCAGGGGAAGACTTGGGATGTAATTTTGCTCCTTTGCTGTCATCCACAGCAGCTAACAGGCCATGTGTTTGAAAACAACGTTTTAAATCAGCTACAATTGTTTTTTACATTGTTCTTCTAGGAGAGCGTGAAAGAGAAGGGGAATTTGCTCCACCATACGGAGGAGAATGAGCACAGAGGACTGCAGACACCTATGCTCCAGTAACCCTGCCCCCTCTCTCAGCTCCCCCTCTCAGCTGCATTCATGACACTGCGATGTCCCAAAAAACCTCCCAGCCACACTTAGAGTCTAGAGACAGGGAATTAAAAGGAAAAGATTTTCTCTCTCTCATGCCCAACTGTGTTCATTCCTTTCAATTAGGAAAAAAAAAAAAAAAAAAAAGGAGGGCGGAAAAAAAAAAAAGAAAAAAAGAAAAAAAAAAAAAATCTAATGGCCCCACCTTTACCCGGGCAAAAAAGAAATATAATAACAAATTTCA